TCCTATAAGGTGCACCTTAAACAATCCAATTAAGGTGCACCTTCAAATTTGATCATAACATGATAATTTTGATACAAAATATTTTTAGGATTATCTCAAAATCTATTTTCATATCTAATTATAAAATTTTAAACTAAAAAAATGGTTAAAATCAAATAGATCTAAAAGCATAAGACAATTTTGGAAAGGACAGTCTAGATAATATGATGTAAGATGCACTAGTTTTAGGACTCAAAATCGATTTTTCTTTCATAATCATACATTTCGATGTTCAGATGCTCAATTAAAGGGTTTTTCAACATTAAAACAACCTTTTCCGATAGATTTTGGAAGTGCATCCGTAGTTCGACATTTTAAGGTTGCAACCTTACTTTTTTCTTCTTTAAATATTATTTGTTATATACTTTTTAGCTATTAACACTATTCGGGTCGGGTCTACATGGACCCTAACCCGAATAGTGTTCAGGTCGAAATCTTGGAACCGAACCCAACCTGCTGGGTTCAATTTTTCAACCCATACCCCGACTTAGCTGTGGGTCTGGGTCCGTTACCATTCCTAGGGGTTTGTATAAGGTTGAGGCCTTGAACAATTAAAGTAAATTGCACCTTCAAATTGTCTCAGAAAATATTGTTTTAGAACTAGAAATCTTTGTAATAGCCTGAAAATTGATTTTCATCTCTAACCATAAAATTTAAAGCTTCAAAAATAGTGTAGATCGAGCATATCTACGAACACTTGAAAGTTAACGGTTCAGAAGTGCATTATATGGTGCAATATTTCTAGGATTTGAAATTTATTTTTTCTCATGCCCATACATCTTGAGATTGAGATGTTCGATTTGAGGATTTTTGGGTATAAAAGCAACCCCTTCTAGTATATTTTTGAGGTGCTAACTTAATTTGATTGTTTAGGGCCTCAACCACATATACAAATTTGTAAAAATATTCAATGGGACCATTTATCTTTGTGCGTGTTTCATGGACAACCGGACGTGTGTCTTGGGCAAAAACCAAAGCCGGACATAGACTTGAAGAGGATGGGATAGAGAAGTAGAGAAAAAACAAATACGCCCATGAGAAGGAGGCTTTCTCTTGTTTTAGTATATATGCTGGATATAATTATCTGTGGAAAACTTTTGTATGTTCTCAAAAGAAAACCAATGATGGGATGCAAACTCATCCATTCAACGACAAACTATTGATAGAAGATTCTTAAATTTCAAATCAACCCCAAAAAACTTTTGAGTCTCGGGCAAAAAACACTATTTTTGACGTTTTCCTAATATAATGAAACAAAAAACTTCTGGACACCGCGTAAAATAATTCTCTGGATAAATTTAGGTATGCCGAGTGTTCTCATGTTCCTACAGGACCATGTTGTCTATTTACTCCTTTAAGTAAGTATTTTGAGGACTCCAAATCAACCTTGCAATTAACCTCAATAAAGTTTTGAAACCACATTTCTATATGGGCCTTAATAAAAGAACAGAAGTATTTTTATTCATTCTTTTAAAAAATACCTTTTACCTCCCCTCTTTGTTCTTTCAACGCTATTTCCTCGCGGACAAGTGTGCGCCTTCTGTCATCAGGACAAGTGTGCGCCTTCTGTCACCAGGTTTTCTGTCTTTCTAAATCTAGCCCTCTCTCTCTCGCTGTAAATCCAACTCTCTCTACTGGTGAAAAACCCTCACTCCCTACTCATCTCTCTCTAAAAGCAAAAGCCATTTCTTTCTTAACAATAAAAACCTATGAATGTATCTCTCTCCAACATCAACAAAAAAAAAAGAAAAAAATTTAATATAGAACCCTACTTCTTCATATTATTTCATCGTAAACTTTCGTTTTGTTTTTTTTTCAAGCGACATAAAGAAACCCTTAAAGATTTCAACGTACCCTTTCATTTTTTATCTCCATCTTTTATTGACTTTTGACCATAAAAATTGGTTCCAACAAATCTTTTTATACTACTTCAACCCAATTTTTTTTTTAAAGTGTAGAAAGAGAAAAAGAGGGTAAAAAATATTTTTGGGTAGAAATTATATAAAAAATTTGTTGGAACTAATTTTTATGATCAAAAGTTAATAAAAGAAAGAGATGAGAATAAAAGTCTACCATGAAATAATACGAAAAATTAATAACAGTCCAGTTTCGTTCTATCTTTTGCCAATTTTCTATCTCTAAAACTACAAATGTTTTGTTTTCTTTCTTTTAAAGCTGAGATTGGGTTTCCCTTCGTGCGTCTCTTTCTCTAGAACCGTAAATGGATGTCTTCCTCCTGCAAATGGTTTCCCCCTCTGTAAATTCTTAGTAGAAAGTAAGAATGACAAAGCTTAGGTTCCTTGTTCCCATACTAATCGAGGCAAAATCTGGGTCATTGGGATGAACACAATCAGCGATCCTTTGGTCAAATTTGGCCACTTTGGTATTAGGCTCAAGGGGGATTGAATAAGAACTTGAGGTTCCAAGCATTTCTTCATGACATTTAGCCTCACAGAGAGCAACCTTTCTTTTCGAAGTCTGCTCATCCAATGGCCCATTGATCTTGCCAAGTCCTTTCAGATGAAATCTTCATCAATTCATTCCTGAGCACTCTTACAGTACAGTGTGGTTTGCATCCTTGAGCTGAGCGTCAAGTTCTTGAATCCTCTTTCTATGTCCCGGTGGCACTCTCTCCGCTTCAGCCAGCCATTTAGAGGGGGGAGAAAATAAGAGGGAGGGTTCCAAAAGGTAGAAAAAGTGGAAGCAAAATAGTAAAACGTAATAGGATATTAAAATTCATGACCAGCAATCAAAGCGAACGCTGCTTGGGATTTTTAGATATTTAGAATGGATGGTTAAACATTTAGATATATTCTAACCATTTATATCTATAATATACAAGATCATTTCCCAAATAAGAATTGTTTATTATGATATTATATATTTTTAATACAAGGAAATCATAATTATTTTTAGCTATTTGATTTGGAATCTAATAAATGCAAGTGTGTCACATCATTCAAGAAACTTCGCTATAGACTTTGTGCTTAAACAAAGATGATTGTGACCTCCTCATACAAAAAATAAATGGTCTCATTATATACGTTTCTTAAAAAATAATGGCCCAAGGTTAAAACGATCCAATTTTTAAATTGTGAAATCTAAGTATTGACAAATTCAAAATTTTTTTTTTAAATGTCATTTGATGATTCTTAGCTAGATCTCCTAATTTTATGTCTAAAAATCTTATCAAGTAGCTCTTTTGCCCGAAGGAGCAATTACACAGTGGAGCAATTACCAAGAAATATGAGTCTTGAGACCTTATACCATTCCTCTCTTTTCGAGTGGTTGATTTCGACCTTTCCACAATTAAAGAGTGGGGCCTCGTCGGTAGCCTGAGACAAAGAAAAGTTTCGAAAATGAAAAGAAAAGATGTAGAGGTTTCCATGCAAATTGGCACATTATAATCAAGCTTTCTCAGAAAAAATCTAGAAAAAACAAAAGGTGGGCCACAAATTACAAAAGAAGTACCCCGTTTCTCTTTTTCTGGGTAAGTAAATGGAAAATATCAAAGAAGAGGAACAAGAAAATCAGTAAAGCATAAAGAAAAAAAATGACTACGATTTTAATAAAAAAAGTGGGAATTAAAAA